CGCTCGAGTGACGTCACCGGAAGCGGCGCCGGGAGAGCGCGAGAAGGAACGCCGGCTTCCGGCTTGAGGCGGAATGCCCGGCCGGCTGAGGCGGAAGCGGAGGGGCTCCCTTGGGCGCTGAGGGCCTTCCCTTCAGTGGGGTCTGAAGAGGGGGGGGGGACCCCGTAGTGCAACTCCCAGAATCCCCTCCTCTGGCCGTGGCGCCCGGAGGATTCTGGGAACTGTAGTCCCAGCCCGCCCGCCTGCCTGCCTGTCTCTCTCCTCCCAGCCCGCCTGCCTGCCTGCCTCTCTCTCTCTCTCCCTCCCTCCTGCGGGGGCTGGGAGGGCCAGGACGGTTCCCTCTGAGTCCTCCTCTTCCTGGCCTCTCTTTCTTCTCCCCTCCTTCTCCACCACGAACAGCCCTGCGAGGTAGGCCAGGCCGCCTTGAGGGGCGTCGGGGGGGGGTTGGGAGCCGGTGGGTCCCAATCCACCGCCTGCCTGCCTGCCTCTCTCTCTCTCTCCCTCCCTCCTGCGGGGGCTGGGAGGGCCAGGACGGTTCCCTCTGAGTCCTCCTCTTCCTGGCCTCTCTTTCTTCTCCCCTCCTTCTCCACCACGAACAGCCCTGCGAGGTAGGCCAGGCCGCCTTGAGGGGCGTCGGGGGGGGGTTGGGAGCCGGTGGGTCCCAATCCACCGAGAACAGGCGCTTGGTGGCAGGCTAGGAAGAAGCCCAGGGAAGCCAGGCCGGGCGGGTCTGGCCCCGGTGCCGCCAGCCCACGGAGGGAGGGAGGGAGGAAGAGGAGGAGGAGGAAGAGGCAGCCCCTGCCCTCTCAGCTGGCTGGCTGGCTGGCTGGCTGGGGACCCCCCCCCAGGGGCACCTTTTGCCCTTGCTGTCCTGAGGGAAGCTCGGCTTTAGGGTCGGGTCTCCTACAGCCACACATACACTATCATCCTCATTTAGTCACACACACCCCATGGTCCTCTTTGGCTCCCACACACACTGTTGTCTTCTTTTGCTCAAACACGGACACGCACACCCCATCCTGCCTTGCTTACTCACACACAGCATCGCCCTTTCTTGCTCTCTCCCCCCCACTGAAGCCCAGTGTCTGTTCTGCTCCTGCTGTTGCCCAAATTCCCTCTGGCTTCCCACCCATTCTCCTGGGGAAAAGCTTGCTCACCCGGCGGAAGTCCTTCCCCCCCCCCCGACTTCTGACGAAACATTTTTCTTGCTCTGTCCGTTCCTTTTAGATGGCAGAGCGAAAGATCCTCATCCTTTTTGCCCCCCCCCCGGCTTCTGCCAAAACATTCCTCTTGCTCTGTCCGTTCTTTTTAGATGGCGGAGCGAAAGATCCTCATCCTTTTCGGCAGCCAGACGGGCACCGCCGAGGACACGGCGGAGAGAATCGGTCGGGAAGCCAAATGGCGCCATTTCCAGTGCAAGGTCGAGGCTTTGGACAACTACAATGTGGTGAGCATTCGTGCCATGGCCACACCCAGCAGTTCAGCACACACATCAGCATGTGCTTATAATGTGCGGAGGATCTCACTGGCTAATCCTCTGAGGTAGTAGAGAGTTTTAAGGAGCTGCTTTATGGAGAAAACGAGAGCAATTCCAAAGGGTCTTCGAAACAGGAACCTTGGAAGCAGCCTCACGCTGCTGAGTCCAGACCCTGATCTGTGTTAGTCCAGTCGTTGGAAGTTCTGGCCACCCACGGCTCTCCCGAGTTCAGCAAGAGATTTTCTCCTGCTGTTCCTTGGTGTTCCCCCACCCAGTATGGAGAAGGCCTGTCCTTGCTGACCTTCCCATACCTGGTGAGACTGGAGTGTTCACGGTAGTGCAACTGGTCTTTTTTTTCTCTCTCCAGTGGGCTAACCCACATGATCATTCTGTTTCATTTTTGTGCAGGCCTTCCTCATCCACGAACCGCTGGTGGTGTTTGTCTGTGCGACCACCGGGCAAGGAGACCCTCCTGATAACATGAAGGTCAGATGTTTCACTGACAGATGTCCCGAGGGGGGGTGGAATTGGTGGCATGACCCCAAAGGGTGCCGTTCACCTGGCCTCACCCTCTCTGTCCTTATTCTCTGGGGTTTCCCAAAGACTGAAGGTGTTCCTGTCCTTACTTCCAGACATCCTGGGGTTGGATGGAGGGAGATCACTGCCAGGGATTAAGCTCAGAGCCTCCTTAGGGAGAGTTTTGCCACTAGCTTATGGACACTCTGTATGTCCTTGGTCACACCACTAATACATCTAGTTGAGTACTGTCTACCCAGGTGGCTACAGCAGTCCTGGGTTTTAGGCACAGCCCAAACTCTAGTTATCAGGGGTTGAACTTGGGAATATTATGTGTGCAGAGCAGGACTTAGTTTGGAGCCCCTGCTCCTCCTCCTCCTCCTCATTGTCCCCTTTAGTTTAATTGCTTCCCAAAAGCTGAAGCTGTTCCTGTCCTTACTCGCAGACATCCTGGGGTCGGATGGAGGGAGATCACTGCCAGGGAGTGGCAATCCTTACGTAGAGTTCTGCCACTAGCTTATGGACACTCTGTATGTCCTTGGTCACACCACTAATACATCTAGTTGAGTACTGTCTACCCAGGTGGCTACAGCAGTCCTGGGTTTTAGGCACAGCCCAAACTCTAGTTATCAGGGGTTGAACTTGGGAATGTTATGCGTGCAGAGCAGGACTTAGTTTGGAGCCCCTGCTCCTCTTTCTCCTCCTCCTCCTTGTTCCCTTTAGTTTAATTGTGGTAGGTTGCCATTGCAGTTACCTGAGAGAAAGTGGGCTGTGAGGAGAGACCGCACAGCCCTGTGCTTTAACACTCATCTTCTTGGTTTGGACCTGCTCCAGAATTTTTGGAGGTTCCTGTTCCGGAAGAGCTTGCCTCCCACTTCTCTGTGCCAGATGGACTACGCCGTCCTGGGGCTCGGAGATTCTTCGTACCCCAAGTGAGTTGCACGTTCGCCTCTGCAGGGACTAGGCAGGAAAAGGCAGCAGGCAGGGGTCTGTGTCTTTAGTCAGGGTATTTACGCTTCGGGCCGGCTGGTTGGCTGGGTTTTTCCCAGCCCGGAAGGAGCCTCGAGGGCAGGACGTTTGGGAAATGATGAGCCGAGGGCCATCTCTTTCCTGTCTCGCCTTTCCAGGTTCAACTTTATCGCCAAGAAGTTGCACAAGAGACTTTTGCAGCTGGGGGGCAACCCCCTCGTGCCTGTGGCGTTGGGAGACGACCAGCACGATTTGGGGTAAGGAGCGCCCGTGAGGCAGGAGCTCCCCGGTTCAGACCCACCCGCCTGCTCACGGGATCCCCGCCAGACGCCCTGGAGAGCTGTGTCTGCTGCTGGTCAGAATGGCTCACCGACACAGGCCAAGTGGGCCCGGCTGCTGGCAGCGGGTGAAGCCACTTCCCAGCAGCGCCCTCTTTTCACACAGCAGCATCAGCCCAGTCTATCCCAGTGTTGCAGACACTGGTTGGCAGCAGCAACGGCCCTTCTGTGGTCTCTTCCCCAGCCCTGTCTTAAGAGGCCCCGTCGGGCCGGTGGCGTTGGGAGATGACCAGCACGATTTGGGTTAAGGACCGCCCGTGAGGCTGGAGCTCCCCGGTTCAGACCCACCCGCCTGCTCACGTCTCAAGGGATCCCCGCCAGAGGCCCTGGAGAGCTGTGTCTGCTGCTGGTCAGAATGGCTCACCGACACAGGCCAAGTGGGCCCGGCTGCTGGCCGCGGGTGAAGCCACTTCCCAGCAGCGTGCACAGATCCCTGACACAGGCCAAGTGGGCCCGGCTGCTGGCAGCGGGTGAAGCCACTTCCCAGCAGCGCCCTCTTTTCACACAGCAGCATCAGCCCAGTCTATCCCAGTGTTGCAGACACTGGTTGGCAGCAGCAACGGCCCTTCTGTGGTCTCTTCCCCAGCCCTGTCTTAAGAGGGAAGGGATTGGGGCCAGCACTTTCTGCCTGCAAAGCAAGAGCCCTGCCTCTGAGCAGCAGCCCTATTGAGTTCTGCAGGTGCACCAGAATGAGACCCCAACTCCTTTTGGTGGAGCGGGTTGTGGTCTCAGGTTGAGGACGGCACCCCCTGCATGTTCAGGCCCACTGTGGCTGCCCTTTTCCCTGAACCTGCAGGTACAGAGGGAAGGAGGCAGATATGCACAGATCCCCGTGGAGCGGAGGGCCCCTTCCTTGTGAAATTGGGGTTGACAATCACGGTTCTGGCTTTGAAACAAGCTCTCCTCCCCCCCTCCCCCTTTTCACATGGCTTGTTTTCTTTCCTTTGCTTTCTGCAGCCCAGATGCCGTGATTGACCCCTGGCTTTTGGACTTGTGGGGAAAGATCCTGGCTTTGTATCCTCTCCCTCCCGGCGTCCATGTCATCAGTCCAGAAATCACGTGAGTATCAAGGGAAGCTTTTCAGCAGGTGTAGAAGTTACCTGGGAAAAGTCCCATTGAACTCAGTGCAGGTTACCTCTGAGCAGACGTGAATGGCGTTGAGCGATCAATGTGCCAAAACAGGAACTGTAAAAATAAACGTAGGCGATCTGCCGAAGCAAGCAGCATGGGCAGACTGAGCTGTGCTCCAAACATGGATGCTTCCAGGTCGGCTTTTCCCCACCGCTTAGAGTTCGTTAGGGCCTTGGTCCCTCCTCCTGCAGTTTGAATAATGTCCCCCCCACTTGCCTTGTAAAGGGTCGGTGAGGATTCCCACTCCATAATGCAGGCAAGGAGCTTTGATCTGGATTTTCTGGACTGTTTGGCCGTGTTCTGAAGGTTTTCCCCCCTAACGTTTCACCAGTCTCTGTGGCCGGCACCTTCAGAGGACAGAGGACAGAACTCTGTCTGTCCTCTGGCTCTGACTCCTGTCCTCTGATCACCATAATCACCCAATCTCCTGATAAGACCAAAAGCTGATCCCACAGCTACAAATGCTCAACTATCCCACACACTGCACCAGAGCACAGACAGAGTTCTGACTCCCCTGTCCCCTGAAGAAAAAACCCACAACAACCATCGGATCCCGGCCATGAAAGCCTTTGAGAATACATAGAACAAACGTTATTCTCCTCTGTGGCTGCTTGAAATGCCTCCATCCTGTTCCCCTCTCGGGTGGTTCTCCCGGGAGAGTTTTTGTTATGATGACTGACGGTTGTCCTTTTGCTTTCTCTCCCACAGTTTGCCGCCCAAATTTGCCTTTCAGTTTCTAGAAGGGGCCTCTGGGGAGGACCTCCGCGAGGGCTCCCCTCAGCAAGAGAGGTCCTCCGGAGGGGCCCCTTCCAAGCTGCACCCTTTCCCAGCACGCCTGGTGTCAAATCAGAGGGTGACGTCGGAGTCACACTTCCAAGATGTCCGCCTCATTCAGTTGGACGTGACCGGCGCTGGCATTGAGTGAGTTCCTTCCTCTAGCCTTGCACTGACTTCTTGGGAGCCTCCGAGCGACATTTTCTGGGAAGGGCAAAGAAAACAGAGAATGCTCCAGGGAAACTCCGCATTCAGCTTGAAAGAGGTGTCAGAGAAAGGGTGGCGGAAAGGCCGTCGTCCTTTCCTCGTTCTTGGATGGGGACCCCAGAGAGCTTTGCTGATCCAAAGAAGGGAGGTCTGGGGGAGGGGAGCAGGCTGGCAGGCAAGTAACCTCTGAAGTGGGGTCTTCAAAGGGGCCAGAACGTGTGATCCCAGGACATCCTGTGAGCTTCAAGGGGATCTGAGCCTCCCCCTGTGAAAACCAAGCCCTTCGCGGGCTTCACCACCTCCGCTGTGAAGGCAGGGAGCAGGAAGCCAAGGAGCCAAGAAGGGCCTGTTCAGCTGGCCCTGCGTGAGAAGGAGTCTACTTGGAGGCCGCTTGGGGTCTTCAAAGGGGCCAGAACGTGTGATCCCAGGACATCCTGTGAGCTTCAAGGGGATCTGAGCCTCCCCCTGTGAAAACCAAGCCCTTCGCGGGCTTCACCACCTCCGCTGTGAAGGCAGGGAGCAGGAAGCCAAGGAGCCAAGAAGGGCCTGTTCAGCTGGCCCTGCGTGAGAAGGAGTCTACTTGGAGGCCGCTTCTTCTTTGCGCCAAGAAGGGCCTGTTCAGCTGGCCCTGCATGAAAAGGAGTCTACTCGGAGGCCGCTTCTTTGCAGATACACCGCTGGCGATGTAGTCATGATCCAGCCCCGCAACGCTCCTGAGGACGTGCAACTCTTTTGCAATCTCCTTCGTCTGAACCCTGACAAGCGCTTTGTGCTGAAGCCAACGGATCCAGGTACCAACATGGCCCAGAGGGGCGGTAGAGGAGGGGTGGATGTTCTCTCCGTCCAGATATCAAGACAAAAACTCCGTCGCCCTCCTGGCTTGTACGGGGCTATTCTGAGTCCACCTGTGATCTGGCTGTCTCAGGGCCTACGGGCAAGGAAATCTGGGATCGTCTCCTGGAAGTGTTTGTCACTGGACAGAGCTAGGCAGAATTACCAAGGCTGGCCCGCTTTTCTGCAGAGTAAGGTTGCCCGGGGAGCAGTACTGGGAGGGAGGCTAGCTGCCCCAAAGGAAAAGGAGCTGAGGGGCTTCCTCCTTGGTGCCCTGCCATGTTGGACACCTGACTAGAACATTCTAGTATGAATCCAAGCAGTTTTAAATGGTCAACAAAGTCCATAAAAGGCAAAGAACCAAAGCATTTTTAAAAGAAATGTATCTTTTGATGGGAAAAAGCTTCCTCCCTCTGAATAGCACACAGTCACATGAAAAACAAAGCGCAAAGAACCAAAGCATTTTTAAAAGAAATACATCTTTTGAAGGGAAAAAAGCTTCCTCCCTCTGGATAGCGCACACTCACGTCAAAAAGAAAGTACACCCCCTTTGAATTCTGTGGTTTTACATATCAAGACCTAATAAAAATCCTCTGGTCCTTAGCTTTCGGTAAATACAACCTCAGATCAACAACAGCCCATGACACCATGTCATGATTAATTTTCCCGAAATTAAGCGAAAAATGGAGAAGCCACATGCGAAGCTCCTGATCTGGCTAATGGGCGCCTTCCAGGCCGCCACCGTGTTCATCCGTTTCCCTCTTGCCCCACTTACAGGCACCCCTCTTCCCGCCCACCTGCCCCAGCCTTGCACCCTCCATCACCTGGTGAGCCACTACCTGGACATCACCTGCGTCCCCCGCCGCTCTTTCTTTGAGCTCGCGTCCCACTTCTCGACCAACGACCTGGAGCGAGAGAAGCTGCAGGAATTCAGCTCCGCGCAAGGCCAGGAAGAGCTGGCCGCTTACTGCTACCGGCCCCGCAGGACCACGCTGGAGGTAGGGAGGAGCCGGAGGCAAATTGGGAAATGGATTAAAATTCTGCACCCGGAAGAGCCGGCTTTTCTGCGATTGGCACATTTTTGTTTCCTTCCGGCTCTGTTGATAATCACGGAACGAAGCAGGGAGCGGCGCAAATCACCCCTCTCTCTTTTTGGCTTCTGAATTTTTCGTTTAAACTCTTATGACTAAAAAAAGACCAGAAATGTGTGATTGGAAAGGAAGGCAGGAGATTTTCGGCCTCTTTCTCAGCCCGCGGCCACAGTTTGCCCGAGGTCACCCATTTACAGTACTTCCCTAACCAAGAGAGGTTTACCCACATCTTGGTCTAACCCTGTCGCCACTCTGCCCTTTTTTAAAAAATTTATTTTCGGAGCATTCCCCGGGCTCCTTGTTTGCTCCTCTTCCTCTCCTTCCAGGTCCTGTGTGACTTCCCCCACACCACTTGTGCCATTCCGTGCGATTATCTCCTCGACCTCATTCCACGGATCAGGCCCCGAGCCTTCTCAATCGCGTCCTCCATGCTGGTAAGGAAGGGGGAAGCATTCACAACAAGGCAGCCGGGGGTGTGTTTGTGCATGGCGTTATCTGTGGCTTGTCTCAGTCTGGCACTCTGGGCCAGCTAGCTTGGTGGCAATGAGCCTGGTGCCTTTCCCTGGAGCAGAGTCGGGGCTCTGTGTGTGTGTGTGTGTGTGTTGGGGTGGGGGGGAGATTGTCCCAAGAAAACGCAACATCTCTACTCTGGCAATCTTGCATCCAAGTAAAGTGTTGCAGGAGCTGTTTTTAATGTCTCTCTCTCTCTCTCTCTGTCTCACACACACACACACACACACACACACAAAAACACTTCTAAGATCGTTAAGGGAAGCCTGGAAGGTGTAGCCCCAGACTTAGACGGCAAAAGGGACAGCTGGGGATGGACATGGGGTGAAGCTCCTTGAGTAGGGAGATGAGGAGGCCTCGAGTTTTCAAATCAGGACGGTTCTCCTTCCCCTCCACAGCCTAGCGAAGGAATAGAGATCTCTGGAGGAGTTGGGAGGCTTTCAGCGGGAACAATGCATAAGAGCAGCAGCTTGGCTTGCCTTTGGGCCGCCTGTGGTGGGCAGGGAGGGGGGAAGCAATGCCTCTTGTCTCTGGAAGCCCGGCAGGGTATCCTGAATTCTCTGGCCAGGGAAAGGTCCCCTGTCCGAGGCCTGTGCTTCCGCCCGTGTCCTGCAGGTGGTGCTAGCCCGTTGCCGAATCCACAAAGCTAGAGAGCTGGTTTTTAGAGGCATGCTGGGACGAGTCCCTGGGAAGAACAGTAAGGTTAGGAAGAAGCAGGGCAAGAGGGAGAGCGCTCACGTGAGACGGATCAATGCACTAAACGAAGCCACGGCCTTTAGTTTGAAAGAACCCTGGAAAACCGAAGTTGTCGTTCAGAGGGGACGAGACCAGTCTGGACGGGCAAAGGGCCTGACTCCCCATAAGGCAGGGTCCCCCCCCCCTCATTCCGCTGGGTGTCCCTTGTGTGTTCTCTGAGTCTTCTCCTCCTGCTCTAGGTCCAGCCCAACCAAATTGAGATCCTTGTGGCCGTGGTGCGTTACAAGACCCTTTTGAGCAAACCTCGGCGTGGGCTGTGTTCCACGTGGCTGGCCTCCCTCGATCCACAGAACGGTACTTTGCGGGACACGGAGAGAAGGGGTGGGGTGGGGGCGAGAGCACTGACCAGAGAGAGGCCTTCTGTGTCTGTGCAGTGAACTGTTAGGGGCCGGGTGGAGTGGGAAGCTGGCCGTCGAAAGCCGATCTGCTGACACAGCGGACGTTGTTTCTGTCCCCACCATCATCACTGCCCAAGCTGTTGTCTTACACCCTGAAAGCATGTGAGAGGATCACAAGCAAAGGAGGGTAGGGGGTGGCGGAGTCCCCATCTCTTAGGGGCTTACAGCCCAAAGGCTGTCGGTTGAAGAGGGGGAGGATGATTGTGGGGGCAGGAAAGGGCAGGGACCAAGAAACTGGAGAAGGAAGAGGAGGGGGGAGTGGAAGAGGCCAAGTGGGCCCAGGGGGAGTCAGGAGTTGAAGTCGGAGGAGCCTTGGATCTCTTTGGTCTCTCCCACCAGGGACGGCGAGGGTGCCTCTTTGGGTGAAGAGAGGAAGCCTGAAGTTCCCGGCCGACAGACTCACGCCCGTCCTCCTGATCGGACCCGGGACAGGAGTGGCCCCTTTCCGAGCCGCCATCCAGGAGCGTGTGGCCCAGGGCAAAGGAGGTGAGGCTTGCCTTCGAGGAAACGTCCCCTCCTGAACCTCTAGTGTGGGGAAGGCCAGGGCCGGCAGTGGCGAGAGTGAGGAAAGGTCAGAGGGTGGGTGCGTGGGGGACCTTTGGCCACGTAGGAGGAGCCTCTCTGCCTGTGTGTTGAGTCAGCTGCTCATATCTTAGTCCCAGGTAGTCCCTCTGGCCAGAAAACAAGGCTCCTGAGGGATGGGCAGCTTGAGTGAAATCATTGGCCAAGCGATCCGTCCCCATCGAAATCTGTTTCCATTGTACCAAACCCTCCGCGTGGCCCTCCAGAACGGGGGTGGGCATGTTTTCCCCGCAGGGTGCCTTCATTTCGCAGAATGGACGGCTGCCCCCTCTTTCCTTCACTGGGGCCCTTTCCACTATCGGACGGACGGATCCCCCCCCCCCCCCCCCCCGCCTTTCCTTAAAAGAGCCACGTGATGC